TTACTCATGGGTGTCATAGAAACATCCCACCTATTTACATAACACAACGTTATCATAAAGTCACTATTATTATTCGTGAAAACATCTCCCATTTAGTAATGTTTAATGGGGCAGTAGCCATTAAGATGTGTCTAAGATAGCTGGTCGTTATACTGATGATGTAAAAGGCACATCTATGGTTATTAACAGCTACTTCCGCAAAGATGAATTTGTTGTATTCGATCTCAGCAGGTCAGAAGATGATCCTTTCGCAATTCGACTAAGGTTTGATACTCCATTAAACCTGCAGAAAGAGATAGAGGTGAGGCAGAAGTGCAAGGAAAAAAGTGCCTCACCTAATGAATAGAATTAGTCAAATTGTAGATCCCCTATTTTCTTATAAATTCGAAAATAGAAAAAATAGTAATTAGAAAATTTTTTAGATAAAATTTCACAAAACTCTTCACTCCAAAAAAATTTATTTTTGAGGAGGGATGATTTGTTTGCTCACAAACTTCCAAAGCGCTTAATTATATTACTGACCATAGATGAGAAAATCATAAGTAAATATACACTTCATAGATTTTTATTTCACATCGACAGTGGACAACTATAAAAAAATAAATTATTATAATAAATACGTAATATCTTTTTTGATATCGAATCCATGCTCCAGAAAATTCGGTGTACAAACTCACAATTATTGTTCGAATCTGAGAAATCTATGTTAATTTCTTCTTCTAGAATATAAAGATATTTAGTTTCGAAATAGTTGATTTTTAGTGAATCACATGGATATGATTTGCCATGCTTTTTACACATGTATCGCGCATACTCTAAACTTCTAACAAGTCTTTCATTACCAAATTTATTAATACGGTAATATTCAGGATGCGATAACCACTTTAACATATAAGTCCATCCTGAAAATTCAACGATTCTATAGCCTTGCCGATGTAATATTATAAAAGCAAGTATATATACTACAAATTTAATCATTCATATAACTGATCTCTCTTTTTTTCTGCCCATATGTATGGATTATAATGATCATATAGACCATTTTGATGATATACAGGTACATCTTTAGCTAGAATTTTTTGATCAATATACCATACATATCAATCATCAGAAATTCTTATATCGCGAGGAGTTATATCTAAAAACTTCTTCTCGTTGGGAGTACCATCATTCCTCACCATATTCCAAACTCTTTTTGTCTATGTTTTGGGTCTCAACTTGAAAGCTCTCTAAGCCCGTTGGATAACTTTTGCAGTATTAATTAAACGTTTTACAATACTTTCCCTACCTTCATGTGAATGATCATAACTATAATGATTCAAACCTTTACTGTACATAACCCAATAAGTTTGATAAATTTTTTTAATCTCATCAGGACTGAGCAATGATACACTCTTTCAGCTTGGCACTCCTCTATTTTTCCTTACAGGTTTAGAATATGCGAGATGCCTTTCGGCAATGCATTTCTTCAGGTAATTACTAGCATATTCAATAGTATTTTCATGGATAAATACCAAAGTGTTGCATACAGTACAATAAATATAAAATGAATGCTTCTTAACCATAAATCCTCTATCTTTAGATCTTTCAGTCATATGGATAAATCCATTCTTGGAGAAGTATTTTAGGTTATTTTCTAGAAGTGTCCTAAATGGATAACAAATACGAGAACACCACATTTTAGGCATTTTATTACTATACCTATATTGCAAATTGATTAATGCCTGTGATATGGCAGGATTCAAACCATTATAGTACAAGTCACTCTCGTTATAGTGAAGTGATCCGTTCCATTAATGAAAATTTTTAAAAAATTCATTATATCGAGAGTTTTATTAGTAAATTCACTATATCGAGAGAATTTTATATAAACTGGCTTTAACTTAACTTCACTATATCACGATTTTAATTAGTCTTCACTATATCGAGAGTTCACTATAACGAGAGTTACTTGTAGTTAGTTTTAACCATTTTGCAGGTATAGTAATAATATATGTAGCAATTTCACTGATTTTACCGATTTATAGCAATTTCAATATCTTATAGCAGTTTGTAACAAGTATAGTATAATAAATATCCGATTCATTTTTATTTCACATCAACACTTTTTTGCATATGCAAGTAAAAAAATATTAATATAAAAAATATATCCCAATTGTGATCTCAAGAATAGCATTAGGAAAGCGGTAGACAACTATAGTTTGAATATATTCTTGAGTTTGAGTTTTAGTGGATAAACAGGTTCCACTCTGGGTCTTGTGCTAGAGAATATATATTCAAAAAATTATTAGATTGATGCACAAAATATTTTTTATTGCGAATAGTATTAAAATTTTCTCGGTGGATACATTCGAATCACTCTCAGTGGTGTGGTTTAAAACCCATGAAGTCTGCGTCACCTTCCTCCTCACACACGCCCCACATCAAGGATGACGATCACGCCCGAGATAAAGAAAAAATGTAACTCTGAATAGGGAGGGAACAGTCGGATCCTACACTTCGACAGTGGCTTAGACAATTTTATACATAAATTTTGTGTCCCCGACGGCCTCCAGAGGCTGCCGGAGTATAGTTAACTAATAGTTAACTAATATTTTTATAACGATAGCGATCACTTGATATTCAGGTTTATCAGTTCGAATGTGCGATAAAACCTTGACCGGCTTTAATAATCAATGGCCTACATTAATGCGGTGTCACTCTCCTGCAGAATTATTTCTCACGGTGCGATTTTTTTATTAACGAATAATGCGAATAATGTCTAGACCCTTTTCCTTACTTTATACGATCCCGCGATAAGAATGAGACTTAAAAAGGCTATAAGGGCAATGAGTATAACGTTCTTTATTAGTATTTTTATCAAAATTCATATGTTGCAGGAACTTGGAATCTCCGCCATCTCCGAGATCGTCAGATTTAAACCCACTTTAAACGATCGTCGAATCTAAGGGGGTTTAATTTCACCTAAAAAGTTATAATACATTCAGTATATGGAGCTTATGGCCGAGCGGAGTTGCTTTATGGAGAAAAAAAACTGGCGTTGGATTTGAGTAATGTAATTACTAATCGTGTATTTTCTTTCTGGCTGTTTTTTAGATTTAGGAATGGACGGTATAAAAATAAGCAAGCTTCCGCCCATAAGATAAGTTAGCAATAACATTATTTTTTGCTCGTATATATTTTTTGAAAAAAAGTTTAACATAAGTTACCGGCAATTTAGTTCTAAGGTAATGTTTTTTTAGCAGAGCTGGTCGGAAAACACTATCACAAGTTCATGTATTAATAGCCTTGTTTTTATTAACAGTCGTGATGTCCGCAAATATTTTCTCATATAAGTCGGGAGAGACAGGAGTCTTTGATACTGGTCGTGATAACATCCGAGTAAAGGTCGAAGAGTTAAACGAAGATGTCGCAAGGGTTATTCTTGTAGATGAAAATGAAAGTCCAATTGACACTATAGAGAAAGCGAAATTTATAAATCAGGCGACTGAAAATGAAATAACACCTGTGGAAGTTAAGGGTCAAAAAAGCTATCTTATAACTTGGATAAATAGCTATGAGTTGCGTGTAGATAATGAAAAAATTTTTAAATTTAAAGCACAGAGAGGGCATGTGCAAATGAAAAAAAATCTTGCGGATTGTTTTGTAAAAGACCATTAAACTTTTTTTATTTGTATTCGCACCTGTAACGGCTCCCAATTTTTTATTTTTATACGATTTTTTACAATGTAATTTGCGATTAGTGGAGACTATTTAATTTATGCTAT